AGAGCTTTGTGTCACTTTAGAAGATACTCAATGCACACCCACATCTATAGAGGCAAAGTGTAGAGCAGCTGAGAATATACGTCTTGGTAAGGCTCAGGTTCTGTGAAGATTAGAGCGGTGATCTTGCAAATTGGGTGCTTTGATCTTTATCGGAGAATGCTACCGTAGTCCTGTGCTGCCACGTTTGAAAATAGTAGTTTTATTCAATTTAATTTATATTTTCAGCATAGTACATTATTATAAAGATGCCTGTAGTATGATTAATTTGTTCCTATTTTTATGATTACAAAAGGTCATATATTATAAAAACTATGGAAAAGTATGATGAAGGAAAAAAAATTATAAAAACTTGCTTTTGTTTTAAACCATAGTGGGAACCAGTGAAGGACTAGAATACAGTTTTGGAAACAAATTCAAGCAGAACTACAACTGGTTATTCTGTAATAGATTAAAAGCATGGATCAAGGTTCTGTCAGACTTTGATAATGCTCACCTCTTCATTGAGGCTCTACATACCATCAGCATATAAAATAGGACCTATTACTTAGTGCTGGATTGAATTGTATTAGGCTATTATGTGTTTAGTTAGTATTTGCTTATTTAATATTGGATAATTTGGTATGACTTAAATGAAAACTTGTGTTCATTCTTTAATGTTTGACCCACATGGTGTGCTGAATATGGTTACAAATAGACTATTTTAGTCAAAATTAATTTTTCATCTTAAAATCAAAAATTAAAAATATTCAGTAAGTTTAATAATACAGGATGGGGAAAATTTTTAAGCCAAAGGGCCATATGGACATTAATAACATTTGTAAACCATACAAAACTATCGTCTTAAAAATAAGAATGTTGTAGATTTAGAAGTTTCAGTCCAGCCTTTGGTTGCCTCCAAGGCTGGACCAAATGATTTCTACCCCTGCACAGGCCTAATGGGTTCCATGCTTAAAACCTCATAATATATCCTCTGTCTCAATTTATGATAAATATTCTTTAAGGATGTTTTTAATCTGTTCTTAAAAACTGCACTGCTTGAAGCTTGAAGTTTGACTCTTAGAATATTTGATCATAAGCATGACTTTTTTTTTTTTTCATTTTTACACTAGTAGTTCTCAAACTTGTCTGCATGTTAGAATTGCTTGGGAAGCTTGGAAAAGTCCCAGAACTAGAGGCTTGCTCTGAGCCAAGATGAGTTGAACTGCAATGACTGAGATTAGGGGCTGTCTATTAATGTTTGATTTTCTTAGGTAATATCATTGTGGTGTTTCTAAAACAGAATGGTACAGGTACTAATAGTAATTTTAAGGTTTGTTATCTCAGTCTGTAGTTAGAGGAAAGGATTAATTTCACTTGAAAGTTGGAGATGTGAAATTTCTTCTAAAACCTGCTACAATTCCCTGGCTGAGAATGCCTGTCCCGGGGGAGGCATTTCCATAAGCTTTGCTTGTCGTGCCTACGTCCTTAGGGTGTCTGTGTGTTTAGTTCTGGTCCCAGCTGTCCTGCCTGGTTCTGGTTGCCTGCTGTTGTGCATCCTGACAAAGCATTAGGTGATGGCCTGAGTACTGGGGTTCCTGATCACTGTGAGGGAGACCTGGGTGGAGTTCCAGGCTCCTGGCTTGTGCCTGACCTGGACTCAGCTGTTGTGGCTATTTGGGGAGTGTATTAGAGGATGGAGAATCTGTAAATGCCCTTCAAATGAACTGAAAAACACATACATAAAAAATGTAAAAAAAAATACACATCAGACATGTCAGATATCACTTGATTGTACTTAGTGGTCTTCAATAGAAAGAGGCAGTTGTTTTGCAGAAGGTTTTACATGTGCTATTTAGTATAAGTAGAGAGATTTAAATTACTTTGATTATATAAAAAGCCAATTGAATATCTGGAAAAAGAAAATATCTAACATCACCTGGAAAACATATTCTAATTAACTTTTTAAGTTATAGTAAAAAGCTCACAAGTAATTTGTATAATTCATTTGATATTATTTTAGATTTATTCTCTAATGTTTCCAGAAACATTGAAAAAGCCTGTGATGAATATGCATCTGTGCATATGTTCTACTGTAGTTCACTACATTTGTTTTACTACATATCTTACCATTTATTGATCATTCTATCTATGCATAAATCCAGTGGATTTTTTGGTGTTTTCTGAAGTGATCTGGCAGTATCAGAACACCTGGTCTAAAGTGTGGGCATTCACAGTCTTGACCTACGGTTCAGTTCTTTGTAAAAAAAAAAAAAAAAAAAAAAGTATTATCCTAAAGGTATCATGTAATACGTTCTTTAATTTAAAAAGATTATTTGAAAGTTTCACTCCCTCCCCTAGATGACTGCAACAGCCAGGATGGGCCAGGCCAAAGCCAGGAACCCAGGATTTAGTGCAGGTCTCCCCGAAGGATGGCAGGAAGCTGGATTTGGAAGTGGAGCTGGGACCCAAACAGGAAGCAAGCCATACTCCAGACACAGATCATTATCATCCTCTCAGGGTCTCACCCTTTTCAGTAAATCTTCATTCTTACCATAGCTTAGCAGCGGCTGTCTGTCCCAGATTTTATGTAAACAAATCAGTGTTTTTGTATGTAGGTTTCTTTCAGTCAGTATGTTAAAAAAAAAAATGCCCATGCTGTGTCTTGTGTCAGTACTTGATTCCATTTTATTTCAGAGTAGTATTCCAGTACATGAATATACCAGGGCTTACTGTTTCTTCGACATGTTGGACTGGTAGTTCAATCTGCAGGCCCTTTTATGAAAATGTATTTTTACTCTGGGGGCAGGGTAGAAGTGTAAGGTTGTGATACAAGAATATCTTTAGCTTGAAAACAAATTGCCCAATCTTTTCAAAAGCAGTTACGCCCTTTGCCATGCCTACCAACAGCATGTGAGTGTTCGGGTACTTTAAGCGGTGGGCAACAGCTAGCCTGTGTGGCCTGGAAAGCTTGCAAACTCTTGTGGTTCAGCCCTGCCAAGGCAACCAGAGGTGGCAGTGGAAATTCAGCCAGTCTGTACCAGGCTAATTTTTAAGCTGTTCATTTTGTGTATCCTATGAATGATATTAGAAATACTCAGTGACTTTTTGCAGAAGAGTCCCCACCCTGTGTCCTCATCAACATTTGAAAATTTTCATTCTGTCTTGAAATAGTTGGAAACTTTTTCTTTAATTACCAAAGAAGTTTTAGTTTTAGGATTGATGTGTCTATTGCCATCCTTTTCTCATTAAAAAAGAAAAAAAATAGTCTGGTTCAACCTACGTATGGTAATTATGCTTAATAGAAATGAACCACATGTTTGGAGGTACTTAACTTCAAATAAGTCAAATCTTGATTCTATTGAGAACATTTCATGATTCTGCTGGGGAGAGGAGGACTACATCTTGTGGGACAGGGAAGGAGAGGAATTCAGAGTTACACTTGTAGAGATGTGCACACGTAGAGATGGAGGGAAGGAGAGAGGATACAGACTAGCCCTTCTGGAGTTCAGAGCTCTGAATTCTGGCCTCCGTCCTCTCTGTCTGTAGGTATGGCACTCTAGCAAGGAACAGATTTTCTACCTTCAGTACCTTTATAGGTTGTTTTCCAACGTGAAGCAAGCTGTAGGTTCTGCACTTGGGGTTGGTTGGTTGGTTGGTTTCTGGTGAAGGTGAAAGGGTTGAGTACAGCTCAGTGAATTCATCTTAAGTGTCAGCCCGACTGAGGTAACAATACAGAATGAGGTTTCCATAATCAAGCAGGTAAAAATACATGTTTGATGGAGCTACTGTACTTTTATCTTGCATAAGATCTGCTCATTACATTATGTTCATCATGTTACATTATGTTCATTCATTGCTGACTTGTCATTTACTTTGAATGTCTTGTGTTTTGCTTACTTGAATCAACAAATCCCTTAATTAAAAACTGTTTTGCTTTTTGCACAATTATCTCTAAATAATGGAAAAAGAACAATCCAATAAATGTATCTTTTAAACATCACATTGAGAAATTGGTGACTTTAACGTAAATTGATTTTTTTTAAACCTGTGATGGTTTTACTTAATATTTAGTGAAAATGCATGTAAACTAATTCTCAAAGGATTATTGTCTGAAAATATTCCACATTGATTGAAAGTTGTACAAAAATCATTTACAATTTGTTGGGATTCTTAAAAACTGAAAAAAAAAAAGTTTATACTTTCTGTGTAATTAGGTCCACAAAGCTATCCCTTAAAATAAGTTAATAAAATTATAAATGTCGCTGATAGTTCTAGCAAAAATGAAGCTAAGGTTATTTTGTTTTTTTTTTTATTGTTATTAACATTGTATCATGTGATACAGTTTTATAGGCACAGGGGGGGTTATTTCCTTTTAAAATTAGGCTGGGGCCCCGGCGTGGTGGTGCAAGTGGTTAAGGTCCTTGCCTTGCACACCTGGGATCCCATATGGCCGCTGGTTCTAATCCCGGCAGCCCCGCTTCCCTTCCAGCTCCCTGCCTGTGGCCCGGGAAAGCAGTCGAGGATGGCCCAAAGCTTTGGGACCCTGCACCCGCGTGGGAGACCCGGAAGAGGCTCCTGGCTTCGGATTGGCATAGTATCAGCCGTTGTACTCACTTGGGGAGTGAATCATCGGACGGAAGATCTTCCTCTCTGTTTTTCCTCTCTGTATATCCGCCTTCCCAATAAAAAAATAATAATCTTTAAAACTAGTCAGGCTGGATGTATTAGATACAAAAGTATGTTTACCTATCTTGTAGTAGTAATTTATATTCTCTAATATTACATCATGTACAATGTAAATATGGTTTTAAATGTTATTGCTCAAAAAGGTATAGTCTATTGACGATTTAAAAATAAAGCATTCTGTTAATGGAAGTTAGGAGGAGCAGGAAGAGATGTTACTTTCTGTGGTCTTTTTGCAGCTGAAACGAAACAGCTTAAAGTGCTTTCCTTGAGTGTATTTTGAGCGATTATCTGCTATTGGGAGAATGCCATGTAACTTAGCTTTCATCTTTCCACAGAGCTCTTTAGTAAGTATTCATAGTCAGTTTTTGGCAGCATTGGACTCACTGAAGACATTTTGGGATGTTATGGATGAAATCGATGAGAAGACCTGGGTACTTGAGCCAGAAAAACCTCCACGGAGTGCAACAGCACGCAGAATTGCAATAGGTAGGCAAAAAGCATTCCAGTTGTTTGTTTCTAGTGTTTGATTTATTTAATAATACATAGGAAACTGAATGTAAAGATGAGTTGAATTGCTAGGTGAGATTTATTTATATGAAATTGGGTATTAAAGCTTTGTTATAAAATGATTCTTTTTATTGCCATATTTAAAGAAAGCATTTTAGGTGAAATGGAAAAGTACTAAAGTGTTTCATTGTAGAAGATAGTGATTCTAGTGAGCTAACATTTAATGACAGTGTTTAATCAGTTTTTAATAGGGAAATATTTGAGACACAGATGGGGACAGGTAATTTTCACTTGCTGGCTTCTTCCCCAGAAGCCTACACACCCTCAACAGCAAGGCTGGGAGCTTGGAAATGAATCCTGGTTGTCCCATGTGGATGGCAGGTATCTGGTTACTTGAGCCAGTCGCGACTGCGTGTGCAGGTCTGCATTATCCGGAAACCAGAGTCAGGAGCCAGACATCCGACCTGGGATCTGGGCATGTGAAGCCCTCAGTGTCCACTCTGCCTTTTAAGGACCAAAACAGTACAAGTTACACAAACTTGTGTAACCTCAAACAACAAACTTGGGGATGATGCAAGTTCTTGGGTCCTAGCACTCACATTGGACACCTGAAAAAAACTCCTGGCTTCTGACTGGCTCAATTCTGACCTTAGATGCCATCCATTTGCGGAGTGAACCAGTGAATGAGGTGCTTGACTCCCCCAACTCCCACATCTCTCTTCCACCCACATCCTTAAAAAAATATTTGGGATTTTTTTTTTTTTACAAAATCCTAGAGAAGAAAAAATGTCACTGAGAACCATGTGTTGAAGAATAAACAAAGCACAAAATCACATTCTGTTTTCTTTTTGATGGGTATATTGTATCTTACTACTTTGATGTACTCATCAGTATGCCTATAATGTTACTAGATAGTGTTGATTTTAAAGTTAATTTTTTTATGATCAGCAAAACAAATTAGAGTTCAGCCATTCAGAATTTTAGATAATTTATTAATAAGTTGAGTTCACATTTATTAGCAAAGCTGGTTTTAAGGTAACTATTTCTTTTTCGCCCCATTCTAAATTAATACATTGTTGAAAGGCATATATTCTGATATGGTGAAATTGTGATGGGATTCATCTCCAAAGTAGTGAGCAATTTTTGTATTATCTACACAGGCACAATGTATTATCTAGGGGGAACAAGTGGCATGTTATTATGAAAAGAAAGAAGTATAATTATACAGCAGTTCTACAAATATTGCTACTTTCACAGTTTGAAATAGTTAATAGTATTTGGAATAATTAGTCAAATTATGGTATATTTGTGAATAAGTAGGTATTAAAAATGAAAATATTTTCTTTGGAGAATTTTAATAGTTTATCTAGTTATGATAAGTGTGCTTTATAGTCCACATTTTTAGCATAATTTTTGCATTTAGTAGTTTGTCCTTTAACCCCTCCCTGCTCAGCCTTTCAAGGATTATTTGTTGCCTTTGGGCCAAGTTTTAAATAAAGTAATGGAAACATCAGTTTATATAATCATTGTAAACTCATTGTTAAGTGAATTATAGCATTGGTTTAAGAAATTTGTATTTATGGTAAAGAAAGCATTTAGATAACTTCTGTATTTTTCTCATTGAATGGCCATTTTTTTGTTTATAATTCCATTATCACCACCCCTAGCAAAAGGTTTATTTTACATTGATAGAGCTTATCAAGTCATTCTTACCATAAAAGTGAGAGCCAGTGGATTATATATTACAAACTTTAAAGTAGTAAAACCTTTTACTGTATTCTTGTACAATTTAAAATTTTTAAAAGAATCTAAATACCAAATAAAAATAGCTTTACACATTTTGTAAACTATATTGTTGCTTTTTAAATTGAATTTCAATTTTTATAAATTTTTATTTGAAAGGAAGACTTTACAGACAGGAGGTCTTCCATTTAATGGTTCACTATCCACATGGCTGGAGCTGACCTGATCTGAAACTGGGAGACAGGACTCTAATTCTGGGACTCCCATATAGGTACAGAGACCCAAGAACTTGGGCCTTCTGCTGCTGCTTTCCCAGGCCCTAACAGGGAACTGGATCAGAAGTGGAGCAGGCAGGACATGAACTTGTGCCCATATAGGATGCCAGAGAGTGTAAGATTAGCTTGCTGTGCCTCTGTGTTGACCCCAATAATGCTAATTTAATGTGAATTGGATTTTTTTTTAACTCCCAAAGGAAAAGATTCATGTGAAGAAAATCTGAAAGTGCTTATATTCATGGTACTTGTTTATCAGATCTTTCTGTTTACCCATAAATTATCTAAGTGAAATATTTCTTTGGCTATACAATAGAAAAGGTGGTTGGCCTGAACAGCCTTGTTTGTTGGCTTGTTTGATGACACTGTTTTGCTTCTGAAACCTGCCCTGCTTTCTTTCTAGGAAATAACGTTTCCATAAACATAGAGGTAGACCCCAGGCATCCTACTATGCTTCCTGAATGCTGCTTTCTTGGTGCAGACCATGGTAGGAAATCTGAATATTATGTCAATGGCAGTTGTTTTACATGGAAAGGCCCTAATCCTCAGATAATTTAGTGATGTGTGTGTGTATGTGTTAGAAGTGATAGGCTCTGTCAAGTATTAACATTTTCAGCTGTCTTTTAAAATAGTTTAGTTGGTGCTGGCGTCTCCCTTTCCCCTACCCCTAATGAAGCAGATAAGAAACAAGCTTTGTACCTAAGTGTGCATCACAAATGACAGCATCAAATCCTAAATTAAACTGTGTTTTGTTTTCTATTTAAAGTGGTGAAACCCCTGGGAATTAAGTTGAGCAGGAACATACATTTGTGGTAGGTATTTTCACAATGTCTTTGTGTTTTGCTACAGTTTTTCAAATTTAATAGTAGAAGTTTATACTTTTTATGCCTTCAGGAATCCAGAAAACAGCCTATTACAAAATTTAAAAGATGTTTTAGAAATTGACTTTCCAGCTCGTGCCACCCTGGAAAAATCTGTAAGTTTTATCATTGCTTTGACAGTCCAAACCTGTTAAAGTAAGTTCATCTAAATACTCTTAGTATTGCAACTCCCACCTTTTCTATCACAGCAGTCTGTCGCATGTAAAGGCTGTCGCATCAAAGGACCTGTTCACCTTTGGTGGTTCCAAGTGTGCACTTTACATGATCTCCAGTGATTCCTGACATTAACAAAAACATGTCTGCATTTTCTGTAGTTTCTAATGGGCTTGATAAAAGTGGGGAAAATGACTACACTGCACTACTGCAAAGATACTGACCTTGTAGCTGATTTGACAGAGCTGCTAATTGTTGGCGACATTTTCATTTTGGGTTTTCTTGTAGAACATTTATCACTGGCTAATGCCGATTCTGCCTTTACATTGTTAGCCACAAATATAATGCTTTTTAGTAATTTTGTAAACACATAACAGCTTTGTTAGGTGTCAGCTATGTGATATGATTATTTGTATAATACAGCAATTCAGGTTCCTCTATGAAATTTTTTCTTAAGGATTTTACTATGGATTGTGGGATCTGTTACGCCTATCACCTTGATGGTGTCATTCCGGATCAAGTGTGTGATAATCCCCAGTGTGGACAACCATTTCATCAGATATGTCTGTATGAGGTAAAGTAACTCAACACTAGCAAGACTGTTCAGCTAACACAACATAAAAGGTATATTTAAAATGCCAAGTCTAAAATTCATTTAGTTACTAAAAATCCCCTGTCATCCAGTTTGTTCAAGATGCTATGTGCTTCATGTTGCTGCACAGTCCGTCCCCTCTTGTGCTTAGACAGTATCACCACTGTTCTCTGCTCCTTACCAGTGCAAAATGTAAGACCAATCAGATTGCCGTATACAGACAATCATAAAACACCACCTTGACCAACATATTCCAAGGGAACATGCATGTAGCTTTGTTGAAGAAATTAGACTTTTTATTTATTAATGATTACCTCATGCTTGTAATTAATACTTGGAAACAACCAGTGAGTTAGTACCACAATTAAGACTTACATTTGTGAGATTTTAAAATATCTTTGACATCAACTCTTGATTAATGAATCTGGGGAAGGTTTATGAACACCAGGAAGTTGAATGCATTATTTTATGTCTGTTTTGGGAGTAGAAGATTCTTAAAGGGCCCATAATTGGGTTTTAAATTTCAGATTTCATGTTCATTTCCCTTGTTATTCAACATATTAAGGATTATATTTCGTGAGTTAATATACGTATTATCAAAGAGGCAGGCTGACCTGCTTCCTTTCCTTCTTTTTAAATCTGCAGTGGTTGAGAGGCCTGCTCACCAGTAGACAGAGTTGTAACATCATGTTTGGTGAATGTCCATATTGTAGTAAGGTAAGGAAATTATTAATCACATTTCAAAAACAGGAAGAGATTTCTACAAAAAGTGGAAGACAAGCTAATTATTTGGGTGCAAAAACTTGGAAACCATTTCTTTTTAATATGAACTTTGTGAGTTCTCTAACAAATGGAAATTTTGGGTTTTCTGGTACCAGGATTCAAGTAAAATTTATCTGAAAAGGTCTGAAACTCATAATTATTTTAGAGTTTCATTTCCAAATTTCCTTAGATCAAAATTAGATTTCCTACATGTTGTGAAGTATTAAAGTATTTCCCAAACCCTACCATGAAACCATTTTGAGTATAAAGCAACTTTATATTCACCAACTATTAATGCACTTCTTTCTTTTTAAGCCAATTACCTTGAAACTGTCTGGGAAGAAATCTTGAAATAAAAGTGTATTGCGAAGAGCCAGAAACTAAAAATTACCAAAAGACTTTATTTGACATCTTTAGAGAAAATACAAAGCAAGACATACCAGCACCAGCAGCAGAATGATGATGAAGCCGTAATAGTACACCTCTGCCTTTCCCTCGTCACTAAGAGTCAGCTGGGAAAGCATAGACCAGACACCTGTAGAACTGTCTACATCACTGACTCCCATCCCAGATGTGGAAGGGTACGTATCCCAGGACGCAGATCCAGACTTGCTGAATTTACCTGGACCGGTGCATTCTTCATGGGTTTCATAAAATGGATTTGGGAATTGGAGACAGCCCGATTTTTGTGGGACATTGTTTACTTCATGCAAAAGCTCTTGAGATTTATAATATTTTTGCCTTTTCCGTGTGCCTTCCTATGGAAAAAAAAAGTTGGTTAGATTTGGGTTATTCTAGTATTAATTTTGTGCTTTAGATAACTAGGGGAATGTTAAATAAGATTCAGTTTTGGGGTATCAGTAAAGGTGCTGGGTTTTAAGTTAGTAACTGGAAACCACATAAATTACAAAATTATTTCTTTGAAAAGGTATTAAACAGTTATGTGAATTTTGATACAAGTGAAAATTAACCTTTTGCAAGTGAACAAAACTCATGATTTAGGTTATATATTGCCATCTAAGATTTCCCCATCTCTTGGAAACCTATAAACACTAGAAATAGGAAGAAAGCTAGTTGTCTATATAATTGCCCAGAACAGCTTCATTGTTCTGTTATTTCTGTTGACTGCCGCAGAGGAAGCAGTTTCCTGATCACCATTTAACTCCTGGAGCTTTTCTGGTTATGTTCCACATTGGTGACTTCTGGCATGCTCTCCTTGTACTGTTTATCAAGTAACTTAAAGATGTAAGTTACTGGCAAGACTACTACAGAAGTTACTGTCTCAACTTCTAAACTGTCACCCTTCAAACAGCCTTTTTCTCCATCCCCCCAAATACATAGTTTTATGACATCCTACATAGAATGTGTAAAACCAGAGATACTTTGAAAGTTCTTTAGCTTTTCTATTAAAATAAAACTTTTTTGAGAATGAGAGTCTTACTGCTAAACCTAAAGCAATGCCAGATTTCAACCTAAAGCAATGCCAGATTTATTCTCTAAATGCGAAACAGGGGAGTAGTCATTCCAGGTAGACTGTATAGTCCTGTCCTGCCAATACCATCAAGTGAGATTCCTAAAAGCATAGAGACAGCAGTAGGTAACCTGCGGCAGCACTCAAAGGAACGGAAGATAGCGCCACTTGGCAAAGAATAAAATTCATAGGTTACTGTAGGAAATTCTCAGTTTTTGTACCAAGTCTGCTACAAGACTGAAACCAACGTTCAGGTGATGGCAGAACACTGCTTTGCACACCCCACGTGGAGTGCCAATGGTTTAAGGAATGCAGTCTGCTCTGCTGGAGCTCAGTTCTTACCTTGTGATGGATTTCCTTCCACAGAAGAGACTGAACAGTCTCTGGGGATATTTTGGGTTGTCAATTTAGAGATGCAAATAAACATCCTACAATGTATGGGACAGCAGTCTCACAACAACTCAGCCCACACGCCAGTAGTACTGTGGTTGAGAAACGTTAGATCAAATGGGAAGCACTCAGACAAGCATGTGATACTTACTGTGGCTTTCTTTGCACTTGCCTATCTTAAGTTATATCATGATCACATTGAACTACCAATAACTCAAAACCAAACCATAGGGATATAATGAAACCAGTAAAGACCATGTCATTCAGCAGTGTTACTATGCCACATGGTAGACTTAGATTTGCAAGGAAAAATAGAACTCCACTGCCTAGGTTTAATACTGTTTTGACAATGAACAGGAAGGCAGTCAAACCCAATTCTAAAGTATAGCAAGGTAAAAAGACTGATATTACAAGTAAACAGTACCTCTGCTGCCTGTGGGAAAAAAGAAGCATTTCTAATGTACAAAGTACTTGGAGTGAAAAGGCAGGCTTTTTTTAAATAGGTAAACTAATTTTTAGTAAAAGGTAGATCTTTGCAGATGACAACAGTTAGTGTTGGACTAGGCTGAAGCTGGGGCTCACCACAGTGAGGGGAGGGGGGAGAGAAGGAGCAGCAGGGTCCTCATGTGAGTGGCAGGAGCCCAAATTTGGGCCATCTTCTGCTTCTCCCAGGCCAATAGCAGGGAGCTGGACTGGAAGCCAGGCAGCCAGAATATGAACTGGTGCTCATAAGCAATGACATTGTCTCAGGGTTGCAGGTTAATCTGTTAGACCACAATATCAGTCCATTGATTTGATTTTGGTGCAAGATTACATCTTCAAAAAAACTTCAAGAAAACGTGTAACAGTTAACCATGCAATGTAATATTTTTCCTTAGAACTTTCAAGTCCCTTGGACTCTGCCACTGTTTATACCTACCATGTCAGAATAAGCTTCAATAGCAGCATAATAGCCTTATGACTGTTTATGAAGGACTATATGTTGTAACACAGAGGAAGTCAGTGGGGGAGGCAATTTGGGAAGGGGAGACTAGAGCCTATGAAACAGTAAAAAACCACAAAAACTAAATTTAGAGCTATCTGTCACAAAACCCAGTTTACCTGGAGAGGAAAAGTAGATTCAGAGAAACATTAAAACCGAGGAGAAACGAGAGGGATTAAGTACAAAACAAACTCATAAAATCATAGCTAGAACCCCCTGTCTGAATTTCATGACAAATACCAACCATAAAACAAGCTCAAAGAACCGAGATAAATATAAAAGATGATTTACTCATAGAAGACCAACATGATACAAAACTGAGAAAGCAGTCTAAGTGGACCAGCATTACAAAATGTCACCCTGGCATCCCCATAGTGCAGAGGTTCATGTCCTGAGCGCTCCACTCCTGATCCAGCCTCCTGCTAATGTGCCTGTGAAAGCACCAGACTGCTACCCCTGTGGGAGACCCACCTGGAATTCCTGGCCCTTGGTTTCAGCGTGGCCAGACAAGGCTGTCATGGCCATTTGGTGAGTGAAATTAACCAGCAGACTGGAGAATGTTTCCATGTCTTAAACAGATACATGCATTATATATTGGGTCTGTGCTAAAAAGAAAAAACAGGTACCTTTCCAGAGAAATTTACACACCCAACAAGGCACGGAAGTATCTTTAAAATCCAATAAACCTTCAGAATGGAAACTTAGATGGAGACCAGAGACAGTGATGTGCTGAAGGAGGACATTGTGACCCTAGAAGGTCAGGGAGCACAGGATTACAGTTGATTGGACAATATTTGTATGATAAACAACTGAATGGGTGCCTTTTGTATACCTGATTGGATATCATTTGTATAAGAACAGTTGAGTGGACAGCATGTGTATGAGAACACTTGGTGGAATATACAAGACAAAAGGAGTTCCAAACAAAAGCATAGAAACAGTTACTGGGTTTTGTTGATGAGCTCAATACTTCCTCCCTTATGACCCTCAGTGTATAAAGTCTGATGCCACTAAAAAACTTCGGCTTTGACCAACAGTCAGGATCCACGTGTGTTATTATCGGCTCCGTGCAACAAGTCCATTGCTGCGGGACAGCAACAATGTGCATTCCACATTTTTCCTGATTACAAGAGTATGGATTAAAAGGCAGCCATCAGGCAACTGGAGAAGGCGGCAGACTAAGTAGGCACATCAGGACACAAGCCATGAACCAGGCATGAATCCCACCACTTTTCATGTTTGGTATCTTCAGTGTATCCCATCCACCATAAAGCAGCCATTTGGAAATAATACGCAGCAACAAACAAAATTGCCAAAGAGAAGCCTTCTGTGTATCTAGAGGACCTAGTGGAAAGCACAGATCCGGGGCAGAGCCGTTTTGAATCTTATGCTTTGCTCTAGGTTCCCTGGAAGAGGCTGTAGCTTCCTGCCCCTGACCACAATGTGCTGTGGAAACATCAGCATCCCGTACTAGCAAAGGAGCGGACCTGTTGCACAGGAGGCAGTGTAGAGAGCATAGCCTGGATCCTAAAACAGGCCTTAACCCAACACAAACAACACTATACTGGAGATGTTCTCAGACCATAACAATTGTATAATTAAACGAATCTGGAAACAAAAACCTTGAAACTATTGGAAATTAAATAATCATCAAGAGTGTAAATAGGACTCCTGGAAAAATGCAAAATATTTTTAAAATTTTTCTTAATTTTTAAAATTTTAATTGGAAAGTCACATATACAGAGAGAGAGAGAGAGGAAGACCTTCCATCCACCGATTCACTCCCCAAGTGGCCACAATGGCCAGAGCTGAGCCAATCTGAAACCAGGAGCCTCTTCCAGGTGTCCCAACACAGGTGTAGGGTCCCAAGGCTTTGGGCTGTCCTTGACTGCTTTCCCAGGCCACAGGCAGGGATCTGGATGGGAAGTGGGGCTGCTGGGATCAGAACCAGCACCCATATGGGATCCTGGTGTGTGCAAGGTGAGGACTTAAGCTGCTAAGCTACTGCACTTGTCCCCAAAATATTTTAAATGAATGAAAATAAAGATTTACAGGACATTTACAGCATTGAACACTTAGGAAAAAAAAATCTCAAATCAGTGTCCTCAGCTTTAATCTTAGTTACTGAAAAGGGGGAAATTAAACCAAAATCAAATGGAAAGAAAGAATACAGTAATAGGAAAATCTCCAAGTAGTTGAAAACTTTAAGGACACTATTGAATGGGTCAAGACACCAAAAGGAAATTATTGAACACATCAGAAAATTAGTTTCAATTTAGTAAGTAAATTTATATCTCCAAAATCTTAAAAGTACATGGGATAATAGATTTGTTAACTAACATATCCTTAACACAACTCAGTGTAAACAGTGTATCCCATAAATATACCAGTTATCAACAAAAATAGTAAGCAGCTTTAATTTTAAAAGTTAGGAAAAATTCCAAGCAAGTGGAAGGATGCAAATAAAACTGAAAGCAGGGCCCGGTATGATAGCCTAGCAGCTAATGTCCTCTCCTTGCACATGCCGGGATCCCATATAGGTGCTGGTTTGATCCCGGTGGCCCTACTTCCCCTTCTTCTTCCTGCCTTTGGCCTGGGTAAGCAGTCGAGGACTTCCCAAACCTTGGGGTCCCTGCACCCATCTGGCAGACCTGGAAGAGTCTCTGGGCTCCTTGCTTCGGATTGGCACACACAGCTCCAGCCATTGTGGCTGCTTGGGGAGTGAATCAATAGACGGAAGATGTTCTGTGTCTTCTCCTCCCTGTATGTCTGATCTTAGAACAATGACAGCAGGTAGCAATATAGCAGAAAAATATAGGCGAGTCAACACCAGGTACTTCTGTGAAGACAAATATGGTAAGCCTCCAGCATGACTGCTACAGAGAGAACACAAACTGGCGACGTGGAAAAGACCTCAGAGACATGAATGGAACTTAAATAAGTGGATACTACAAACGGTTCTACCAGCTTAGAGAAATGTGTAAGCCACATTCAGCCCATTACGTATTTATCTAGAGCCTCACACCTGGGAGACCCAAAAGCAACTCCTGGAGCCTGGCTTCAGCCTGGCCCAGCCTTGGCTGTCGAGGCCAACTGGGTAGATCCAGCAGATGCAAGATCTTGCACTGTAATTATGCCTTTCAAATAAACAATAAACATGAACTCAGATCTACTAAAGGTGTGCAGAATCTTATTGACTCTAACATTGGGTTATTCAAGACTTTGGTTTCATTAGGTTAGTTACTAAAGTAAATGTCACCTGTTCCTTCCTACTTTAAAAAATGTGATTACCTGACTTAACAGTTACTTCTATGACTTGCATTATATTTCCATTAGAGTTACTCTAGAGCAGAGATTTGTAAACCGTTCTGTAAGATTATACAATTTCAGGCTTTTGGGGTCATCCAGTCCCTGCTGCTGCTATTCAGCTGTCATTACAACAAAATAATGGTCACAGACAATATGTGAGAGTAAGAATGGCTGTGTGTTCTAGTAAAGCTATTTACCAAAGTAGTTGGTTGGCCGATTTTGGCCCAGATGCCATAATTTGCCAATTCAGATTTAAAATAGCCAGTTAAAAAACACCAAAAACAAACAAAAAAAACCAAAAACAAAAACCACAAAAAAACACCAAACAAATCCAAAGCAGTATAGTTTAAAAGTAAAGAAAGAATTCTCAGGTGGTCCAAAACAAGCCTGGAGGAGGTGGAATGTGACAAGAAAAAAGTAAATGGCTCAGGTCCTTGAGCCCTGTACCCACGAGGGAGATCTGTAAGAGACTCCTAACTCTGGGGTTTGAACTGGCCCAGTTTTGGCTAAAGGATTCTGTCTCTTTAACACTGCCTTTCATATACAAGTAAATGAAATATTGAAAAAAAATTTTAGAAAACTCATGGGATGGAGAGAAAAGAGCAAATATGTGAGTTCACAAGGGCTCATGAGGGAATTTAAGAATGCCAAAAGCCTAGAAAGTATATTCAGAGATACCAGAAAAATGTTCCAAACTTAGACAAAGAACTGTCGAGATGCCTTAAGGTTAAAGGTTAAAGTCAGATCCAGCCTAGCCAATTACTCTGACACACAGCTATGCTTACTATGGTTAAAGGCAAACAACATTTCCAATGCTATAATTGAAAAGATTCTATAAAGAGGTCCCAATTTCCCTGACTGGAGTTCCTAGCAGAAACTTCATGAGGCATTAGAATGAAATTTTTACCGTACTTAAGGGGGAAAAAAAGTTACCAGTCAAGAATAATGTATCAGCAAAGTTATCCTTCATAGTTACACATAAGTCAAAGCTGGGGCAAGTAAGACCTCCAGACTTTTTAATGAAAAATGGTAAAGGGGTACTTAATGAGACACTGTTGAGTAAGAAAATACTAGAAGGCAGAAAACTAAATGCTAAGAGCACCTATGTAGGCAAATTCTGAATGCTCTAAAATGATAACCATGGTATATAAACCATGCATATCTTCAGTGTGAAGACTAATTATGAAATTGTTAAGAAATGGGTGCTATATACAAAGAGGTAATGAAACATCAAAAATTCCAACTGGGAAGAAATGAGGTGCAATTGTAGTATTTTGTTGCTAAGCTATAGATCCTTTTTATTGCCAAGACATAAATGGCATGAAAATTCAACCCAAAAACTTCAGGACAAGTCTTGACAAAACTAGGAGCATCAAAGGAAATGAAAGACTGGTCTAAACACTGGGTGACATGGCTTAGTTAACACAGCAAGGACACAATGGAAGAACAGTGCACCTGTGCTGGAGACACGAAGGGTGAGGACCTGGTCAATCTTTATCTTCTGACGGGTGCCTAGGAAAAGAAATAATGGGGCAAAATCACTAACTCCTACTGTGTTTCCAAATCATCCTTCCCTTCCCCAGCACCATGTTTGCTCTGTTCCTGTTCTATCTTCCCCTCCCCCTCACAGCCACAGCCAGGGTTTTTAACAGAGAATCTATGTTTTGGTTTATGAGGATTAACACCTTACTGGCCTGAAGGTCATTTCCTTTCAACTTAGAAGGGAGATCCTTGCTGATTTCTTCTAGAATTGAAGCCACTTTTTGTGTTTCCTAAGAAATGTTGGTGTCTGAAGGGTACTAAAGCATGAGCACAAAGAACTGGATCACTACATCATGTCATAGTCATCACTCTGAAATGCACAGGTGTCAGAAGAGCAGCCATGCATCTCTGGTGCCTATCACTCCCCCAACCCCCTTCCTCAGTTCCCCTTTGGCTCCAAGGCCAGTTAAGAAAACAAACAAGCAAAACTAGTCCTGTAACCTTTGCAAAGGTGTAAACTATGCCTGAAGATACAAAAGGAAAACAAACAAAAAAAGTTCACTCAGTTCAAGGTCAGAAACAAGAAAATTGTATTTTTCATAAAAACCTTTCTTTTTTTCCTATCTACTATCAGCATTAAGTTTCTCTTTCAAAATAGCTAGCTACAACAAATTTTTTTCACTTTTATAGTATCTACAAAAAAACTTAAAATAAGCAAGAAAGATCAAAACACATTATCAGAGATATGTCACTTAATGACAAAAGAAATGTTCTAAGAAAGGGAGAAAGAAACTAGTAAAATTAGAAAAGTAATGTCAAAGTAACAGTATTAAGATCTTACCTATCAACACTTACTTTAAATATAAATGGATTAAATTCTCCAAATCAAATGACAAGACCGAAAGATAAACACTGCTTATAAGAAATTCACTTCACTCATACACAAACTGAAAGGGAATGGATAATTTGATATCTCATGCAAATGGAATTCATAAAGAATATCCACATTTAAAGCAGATAAAGTAGATTTTAAGTTAAATGTAGTAAGAATGTGTAAGTTAGCTCATTAAATAGCAAACATCAGTGCAAGAGGAAACTACAATTGTAGTTTTAATATATGCATCCAAATATATAAAGCAAATATTAATATATGTAAAGAGACTTCAATACAGTAACTACAGCTGTATTTTAATAGTAACTAGTGAAAGTTCCACTTTCAAAGATAAACACATCATCAGATGGGAAAACAATAAAACACACAGTAGGGTGAAATTACACTTTGATCAGACATCCCAGGAGACATTCACAGAAAATTTAACCATAATCTGTAGAACACATTATTCCCAAAATCACAGGGAACGTTCTTCAGTTTAGATCATATGGGAGCTCACAGAGAACTTCCAACTAATTTAAAGTCATAGCAAGCATCTTTTCTGACCACAATGCAACAAAGAATAATTTTGTAAACTACAGATATAACAAAGCTTACTCCTGAATATCAAGTCAATCAAGAAGGAAATTAAGGACATTGAAGTGAAAATAGCAACAACACACCAAAGCCCATGGGTGCAGCACAGGTGTATTAGGAGGGGAGTTCACAGTAACCAATGTCTACACCTAAAGCAGAATGATCAACTTATCACTGTGCCTCAAAGAACTAAAAAAATAATAATAATGAAACAGAACAAAAGTAATACAAAAACCACAAAAATTCATTCAACAGAGAGCTCTTTGAGAAGGTAAAACTGACAAGGCTTTTGCTAGAATAAGTGTAAAAGAAGGAAGATTCAAGTAAATAAAATCAGACAGCAAAGAGACAGGGCTGACTCCAAGGAAATAAAAAGGATCGTTAGGGCAATGGACAATTATATGGTAACAAATGGACAAACTGACAGTGTAGTGACTTAACAGATACATACACCTTGCCAAGCGGAAATCATGAAGACAGAACACACAACAAAGGAATACTAACAGATACACCGAACCAGTAAGTTTAAAAAAAAAAATCTGGAAAAACTGGGGTGGCCAACATTTCACGATGAGGTAACAGTACTTGCTCTTACATCAGCCCCCAAAATGAGAGGGCAGGTAATTCCTGCACATGCCTTCTGTGCAGCCAGTGTCGCTGACTCCGAATTCACAGAGGGAAACAACAAAAAGAAAGCTATATGTCAGTTTCGTTGATAAACTCAGATGCAAAAACCCTCAACAAAATTCTAGCTAAACGAATGCAACAGCACATGATAAAAACCTCCCACCTGGATGGCGTGGGATTGATTCCCGGAATGCAAGGATGACTCAGCATGAAAAAAAAATGATACAGCATATTAACAGAGTGAAGGATGAAAACCATGTGGTAGTCCCAACGGGTCACAGAAAGGCATTTGATAAAATTCAACATTGCATCATAACAACTCTGAACCAATTAGGTCAGAAAGAACATACCTTAACATAAGATAAAGGTCATTGCTGGCAAGTCAACAGCTGATATACTGAAGAAGCAAAACTGCAGGCATAACTACTAAACTCTAAAAGAATACAAGGATGCATTGCTTTCACCACCTTTAAAACGCTAACACTGTAGTAAGTCTTAGAGAATTAGGCAACTGAAACAAAGAACACACAAGCTAGAAAAGGGAAAGTTAAACCATCACTGCTTACAGGCGTGTAGAAAAATCCCAAAGACTTCACCAAAAACTTTCAGCAGTATACAAACGTATTGCATAAAAAAAAAATCATTAGTTGCCCTGGTGCAGTAGCCTAGTGGCTAAAGTCCTTGCCTTGCACACACCAGAATCCCATATGGGTGCCAGTTCTAATCCTGGCAGCCTCACTTTCCATCCAGTTCCCTGCTTGTGGCCTGGGAAAGCAACTGAAGGCTGCCCAAAGTCTTGAGACCCTGCGCCCACCTGGGTGACTGGGAAGAGGCTCCTGGCTTTGGATCGGCTCAGCTCTGGCTGTTGGGGCCACTTGGGGAACGAACCGACAGATAGAAGATCTTCCTCTGTGTCTCTCCTCCTCCTCTCTACATCTGACTGTTTAATAAAAAATAAATCTTTAAAAAAAATCATTAGCATTATGATACACCAATAGCTAATCATCTGAAAAACTAATCAAGAAAGCAACCCTAGCCACTGTTGAATGGATAAAGAAAATGCAGCACCTCTCCCGCACCCCCACCCCCATGGGATATTATCCACTTGTAAAAAAAACAAAATGAGAAACCCGCCATTTGCAGTGATATGGACAGAACTGGATCGGAACACAGTAAATCAGGCAGAGAAGGACAAGTACCACATGATCTATCCTGTCCATCACACAGAAGAGGGTTTAATGGCATTCAGGAGTGAAGGAGGAAGGCGGGCAAGGGACAGGCATGTCAGACAGACTTCACATCAGCGACAAGCAGGGCTTCTGCAGCCTCTTGCTCAGCAGTGTTCAGGTGATGATAATACACTGCATATTTCTCTAAAAATATAAGAAAGGAGGTAAAAATTTCATCATAAATAAATGCTGAGTGTTTGGAGACAATTATTTTTAACCTGTTGGACATTACACAATTCGCACAGGTTAATACTTAAATATATACAATTTTTAAGTGCCTGTTAAATATCTTTTAGAAATTAATTCTTGTTCAAGAAGAAATTAATTCTATTCAAGAAGCCCTTACATAACATTTTCTGAAAATAAAACACAAACTTCCATTTGATAGAAAAATCTTAGAAGTGCCACAGGTAGTATAAGAAAATTAGGGAACAACATCCCCTATTTATACAGACTGAAAGGTACTAACGTAATTGAATTTCAAAGGGAAATGTGTAGGAATTCAACAAACTGAACTCAGCAGAACAGATGATCAACTATAGTCTGTCCGAGAAAGAGTTGATTTTACACTCAAAATCAATGTATCCATAATAGTAAAGAGGAAGTATTATGTGATTATCTCAAATCACAAAAAAACATCAATTACTAATTTCTGATTTAATTTAAAAAATGCAATGAGGGCCTGGCACGGTAGCATAGCAACTAAAGTCCTCGCCTCGCACATACTATAATCCCATTTTGGCACTGGTTCTAATCCCAGCAGCCCCACTTCCCATCCAGCTCCCTCCTTCCTGTGGCCTGGGAAAGCAGTCGAGGATGGTGCAAAGCCTTGGGACCTTGCGCCCAGGTAGAAGACACAGAAGAGTCTCCTGACTCCTGGCTTCAGATTGGCTCAGCTTCAGCCACTGTAGCCACTTGCAGAGTGATTCAACGGAGGAAAGATCTTCCCCTCTCTCTTCCTCTCTGTACGTCTCACTTTACAGTAAAAACTAAGTCTACAAAAATGCAATGAGAAATGGCACTGTGGCCTAGCGGCTCAGATTCTTGCCTTGCAGGTGCCAGGTTCTCATATAGGCACTGCACCCTGTCCAGATCCCTGCTTGTGGCTGGGAAAGCAGTCAAGGATGGCCCAAAGCCTTGGGACCCTGCGCCCAAGTGCAGACCTGGAAGAGCTCCTGGCTTTGGATTGGCACAGCTCCAACTGTTGTGGTCACTTGGGGAGTGAATCATCAGATGGAAGATCTTCTTCTCTGTCCCTCCTCCTCTATATATATATCTGAGTTTGCAATAAAAATAAATAAATCTTTTTTTAAAAAAATGCAATGAAATTTCCTAAGAGTGTTTAAGAAAAATTCACAGCTATGAATGAATGCTTTCTCCCTGAGAACAGGCAAAGCTGCATCAATCCTACAGCTTTTATGGTACTGGAGATGCAAACAGGCACAACGAAACAGTAACACAAATAAAAGGCATCCACACAGAAAGGAAGAAGTACAAGTGTCTCTGTTTACAGATAATATAATTAACCAGGGACAAAGAACATTTCAAAGTAACAAAAGCCACTATCACTTGTGATTTTAAGAAAATCTTAAGACACTAATCAACAGGTTTCTATATATCAATAAAATAACTGGAATAGGAAATTTTAAAAATCTATATATTTATGCTAGGATCAAAAGGGCAAGCTATCCAGAGACAATTTTCATTGAAAATGTGTAAACTAGGGTGAAATTAAAGATGAACTGAATTAATGTATTAGTAATAACTTTTAAAAAGTCTTCAAAAACAGAGTAATAGCCAACATTTCATGGTTCATAAGTACTACTGCTTATCCCCCCACAATAAGGAAGTAGAACAGGTGTCTTACAAATTCATTCTATGCAGCCAGTATTACTTTGACATCAAATTTAGGGAAGGAAACAACACAAAGGAAAGATGTAAGATCGCTGTAATCTTTTCAGTAAAATACGGCTACAATGCAATATCCTTGATAAGCACAGAGGCATTAGTGCAGACAATTACCAGATTCATCCATAGCTGAAATCAACATTCCTGCAGTTTCAGTTCTCCCTGAGCTTGCTTTATTAATGTATTGCCGAAGGGGGGAAAAAAACCATTTTGGGGGGAGGAATAAACATCCTGGGTCCTATATTTATAGAGGAACAATGCATCGTTTTTTCAAAAAACATGTTTTCTATGAATATTTGGAAAACCTCTCATATGGATGAATTTTAAGGTCATTTTGTATGAAGATAAACTTGTCTCTTAATCCTATTTCCATTGAACTTCTGGAATTGCCCTTTATAGATGACTCCCAGAGCTTAAT